GTCCCTCACAAACTCTTTGTCTCCTTTTTACCTTGACTTTCATGAGATTTTTGCCTCATCTCTGCCCTGCATTGCTTTTTTAGCCCCAGCCCTTTTGCTTTCCCTCTGCTTCCTTGCAGCCACTCAGCTCCCTTAGCCATCTCTCTGACTTTTTCCTCTTCTCCTTCTGCCATTCTCAGATGCTTATTTTTATTGTTAAGCTTTGGGTTTTTTAAATTTCATTGACCCCAGTGATGTCAGGTCAGATTGTCTGTCAGCAAAACATCAGGTTGCCAGAAAATGAAGGACAACTCACAGGAGAGACAAGGAGAAAATAATAATAAAAACAAAAATTAAGAAATCCCCCAAGGAGCTGAGACGCTTTCCTGGAGAGGATGCAGAATTGCTCAAGGGTCTATCTCCAAAAATACTGCTGGCCTAGAAGGTAGAAGGATTCAGACACATGGTAACAGAGATAGGAACAACTTCAGTGGGAGTGGGGCATTATGTACAGAGGGTACATCTGCCTAAACACATGAATTATGCACAGACAGCTTGGAGGTTAAGATGGAAACGGCTTTGATTTGTGCTTTTGAAAGGGCCCTCCAGCATAAGGTTGAAGGAGAACATGCTCTTTAGGGGACCACATGGATAAGGAGTGGAATGGGAGGACATACATGGACCTCTGCTCAGGACTGCAAGATGCTGGCATGAGCAACTCTTAACCTATCCTTTTCACCACACTTTCCCTGAGCATCCTCACTTGCCTTTGGGCATATTCCCAGGTGAGATGCTCCTTTGACCTCCCTCAATCCCAAATTAGCACACCCTTCCTAATAGAAAGACATGGGGCAGACAGCCTCCTTCGGCACCAGAGAGAGATGTGAGGTCTGAAAGTGTTCTGCCTTCATTGCTGCCTTCCCCCTGAGAAAGGATGCCCTGCCTGCAAATCCTAAATTAGGGGGGACAGACCCCAGGCAGTGCCAGGGAAGGAGATTTGCTCAGTGGGAGCCTGCCAAAGAGGAAGAGCATGTGAACCGGGGTCTCTTACCACCCAGCCACATGTTAGGGCATTGTAAAGTGCTGTACTGTGAAGCGGCAGGATAGCTATTAACTGAAAGCTTCACAGTGAAACTGTGAATAAAATCTAGTTCTATTGAACCTTTAAGAAGTCCTTATGGATCATTTAAGAGCAATGATGAGCTCTGGCATGAGCTGTTGGCATAGGTGGGGGTTGTGCCGCACAGGGAGCAGCTGAGAAGGTCTGTGACACATACTGCTCTGAAGAACATCCCTACTCTCCATAAACAGGGCCCATAACTCAAAACTTCCCAGGAATCAAATGCCTTGTGGCTGAATCATGCTGTGTTTGGCTTTCCTGCATGTGACCTTGTCTGGGAAACCTTGATGGTATGTGTCATTCTCCTTGAGATGGAATAAACTCTGCAAATTTACCAGGAATGAGCAGATGGCGTGGTTGGTAAAGCCAGGAGAGGATACTACAGCTAGTAGGGGTCTTCGGCCTCACAGGCTACATTTTTTCTCTCTCTGAAAGCCACCAGAAGACCTTTCCAGATAAAAATGTTTCACACATCAGCACCACCAGTCATTTGCTTGCAATTTACTCTGTAACTGTACTTCAATTCCTCTTTCACAATCACCCCTCCTTTACGGCACACCGGGACTGCCATAAGCCACAAAGCAGGGAGGCAGTCACTAGAGCTAGGGCCAGTGGGGCCCCAGGCAAAATAATGGGCCACCCTTCCTTGCATCCTAAAAAGAACAGCTGGAGGGTGGGGAGAAGGCGGCTTTTCGATTAAATCACAGCTCAGCGGGCGCTGCGAGGCAAGCCCTGAGACGGGGAAGGACAACACTGCACACAGCTGGTTTCACCAGCTCTTGGGTTTGGCTTGGAGGAGGGTTGGGGTGCTTTAGCAGCAACCCAGTACATGAGCAATAAAGATTTACCTCCAGCTCCTTCCTAACCCTGAATGCATATCCTGGTGTCCCCAGCACGGCCATGGGTACCGCCCTGTGTCACCACATCCCTCCCTCCCACATGCTCTCCCCCTCCTTCCCTTGTTCCTTTTAATTAGCAACTTTTTCTTTGTTCCCTTTAATTACACGGGGTGGGGGCAGGAGAGGGGAGGGGGAGGCTGCTGTCAGCCAGATGAGTTATTATCGCCACACACAAGATCAAAGGCTGGGAGCTCTCTTCTAGTCCTTAATTTGGGCAGCGTCTTTGGGCAAAAGAGTCTTTTCTTTGTGGTTTTTCCATGGATGGTGGTTGGGATGGGGAGGCATATGCTGGGCTGGGGGGGAGGGCTGTAGCCCAGGAGGGCGAGCTGCCAGCAGGACTTTGGCTCCTCTCCTTTCAAGAGGAATTTAGGTGGTGCCTGAACTCCACATGTGGGCATCTCGGGCAGGTTTCCTAATGCCCATGCATAAAACTTGATGGTCCAGATACCTTGGGGAGGAGAAGATGGCCAGTTTTTATGTGGATGGGGCATGCAGCTCTGCCAGAACTTTAATGTAGTGAGAACACTAATTATGGGAAAACAGAGGTGAATGTGGGAAAATAAACCGCACAGGGATTTAAGGAATAATGGCTTTAGCTAAAGGTAGGAGCAAAGGTCCATGCTGTAACATCTATTTTTACACGCATATTTTTCAAGCATGAGTGGGATCCTCTAATGAACAATGTGTCTTTTCGGGGGGGGGGGGGGGGGGGGGGGGGGGAGTGAAATATATTCTGGGGTGCCAAAGCTTCAGAGAAACTTGGCCTTAATTTATTTTTTAATTTGGATCTAGCATAACAGTATTAGGGGACGCTTCCTCACCTTGAGCTCAGCAAGACAATGCACCGCACCTCGCACTAGGTATCTGCACCTTGGGGAGTCTCCGTAATCAGGTCTTTTTGGGTCCACGGGACTGTAACAGGGTGATGTTATATTTTTACCAAGGTTTACCCTCTTACTAAACATGCTTTAGAGCCTCTCTGTCTCACATGCCATACGATAATTTCTGTCCTTATCAAACCTGCTTATCTGTAGCATGTCCTGAATAGCTTACATACCATTTTAATAACTTTTTGGTGCCTTTTCTTTTTTTTTTTTGGGAACTAGTTCATAATTACATGCTGGAAAAGAGAGACTCAATGCTTTAACCATACAATATTGCCTTGAAATATGGAAAGTTACAATAAACCCAAACTGGGCCTGTTATGAAAACATACCTCCTGACCAGCTCAGATCTAATGGTAGCTAAAATTAAAGAAAATGAACAAACTCATAATCTAAAGATTAAGATCTGTGTAATGCTGGAGTGTTGTCTTATAACTGGGTATGAGAAGGCAGAGGGCTGTTAATTAACTTTCTATTGACGAAACAAAGCTCATCGAGAGAAACCTTGCTAATCTGTTTTGTGCTAATCAGCACGCATTATTAATTTGCTGGGAAAAAAAAAGTCATCCTCTTCCCACTTCAACGCAAGTTTAATAGGGCTGGAGTGAGGTTTCACATTACCCAGGCTTCATTCTTTTGATGACATATGTTGCAATGCATTTCCTAGTGCATTATGAAGCTTTGGCATAAATAATTTAAGCTGAACTCCAGTTGTTAAAACAAATGAGCTAAGTATCTTTGGTGATTAATTACCCTTCCTGCCTCCTCCTTTCCCTTCCTTTTGAAAGTGCAAGCACATGTGCCACAACCCAGCAAAATGTTTCGGACTCCTCCTGCGACTGAGGGCATCCCAAAATGTTTTACCTGGCACAGGGAAGATCAGGATGCTCAGGTTTGCTGCAAGTGCCTGTTCAGCCGCAGGGAAGCTGGGAGGTGTCAGCTATCAAATCCTGCTCGCGCTGAGTCAAAAAATAAAGGCTTTGGCAGATTTAATGCTCAATGAACTCCCATTTAACCAGTGGCTTTATGGGACTTAAGTTTTCACTGGGATAAGGTTCAGCTTAGAAAGCTGGGATAATCAGTAATAACCATGCTTTTTTGGTCCTTCTGGAAGGACAGTCCTCACACGGAACTCTTACCCTGCCTGCATCACACTCAAGCCTGAGTGCACCCAGCACCCACAGCTGAATCCTGCCTGCCCCCATATGAGGTTTTTTCCTCCTGTCATCTCACAGCAATTTGGGCAATGACATATCTCCTCTAAGGAAAGGAAATCTCCTTGAAGGTTTGCTTTCCTGTCCCCTCCTCATGCTTAGAAGAGGGCTTCATTTTACCCCTACAGCAAGCCTCCACTCACACACACCACCTGAGTCACAGCCCTAGGGTGGTACAGACCAGAGGTGCCCCTTTGCAAGTGGAAAGCAAGGCGAGGGGCTGCCATCTGCCCTCCTACTGTGCTTGGCCTGTCCTGGGATGCTTGTGATACCTAAGGACACGTGCCAGGAATAACCATTGCTTTGCTTTCCCCATATCTTCCCTTGCCCTTCTCCCTTTCCTCAGACCTGTCAGTTCCGATTAGGCATTGAGTAGTTCCAGGCACTCTCAGGCTGCCTACGTGCTCCTGGCACCACAGGGGGGTTGCTTTGGGGAGCACCGGCAGGCTGCTGCCTTCCCGCCTGCCCGGGGAGCCAGGCAGGGATGCATATCTGTGGGCACAGCTGTACTGGACAATAAGAGTCTTCTCCTCTACCCAGAGGAGCATGGAGAACTGTCATTAGAAAAGCTTTTGGCTTTCAGGGTGAGAGGACCAAACTGATGGCATATGGATTATGTCTCTTAAAAGAGCTGGACAGATGGAAAAACCTGGGCATTAGATAAACCCCATAGATATTTCACAACCAGTCATATAAAGTATTTCATTTAACAGCTCAAAACTATTTACAGCATCAGTTAATTTATTCTATGCTTTTCCTGCATCTTTTTTCCTTCCCTTTTCATTCCCTTCAGCCACTGAACTTCACAGTGCACCGGGCTGCTCTGCCTGAGGAGCACCTTAGCTCCTGCTGCCAAGCACCCACCTTAACTCAGTGGTCTCTGTAGCAACATCACAACCCATCACTGCAGAAAGGCAGGATGTCATGACAGCAGGGCTGGAAGGACAGACATCCAGGTGAGAGGAATACTAACTCCCTCAATTAAAAGGAAAATCCGAATTATATGAAGGCAGTGATCGCAGAAATAGAGAAGGCCCTGAGCAATACCGGGGAGTGACTTCCACATCCACTTCTCTTGCAGGATCAGCAGCTCTATAAGAAAAAAATCAAGCTGCCACAAACACTGGTTTTTTTTTTCACTCACAGATGCTCTTCACCTTCCTAATGACAGCCCTATGGAGCAGCAATGGGCCCTCAGCGAAGCAAGAGAAGATGGACTATTGACCCAGGAAGAGGGGATGGGGCACTAGGGAAATGCATGCTGAGGCAGTCACAGCACCTGAACACAGGCTGGAGAGTGGAAATTCCCATCGGGAGAAAGCAAACATGATGGATGGCATTCCCATCACCCATCCCTGCAGTTCACCTCCAACTGTCTCTCTTCACTTATTTCTCTCACTCCTACCCTTTTTTCCAGGCGAGGAGAAGCACTGCCCGTTTCTATCCTAAGGCTTGTGCTTTGCCTCCAGGGAGGTGCATCTTCTCAGCTTGGAGATGCCCCTAAACCCAGCCTGCACAGAGGGTGAGGGGCTTGGGAAGGGGGGTCCTGCCACATTTCCCAGCTCCCACAAGGTGGCAGTTCTCCATAACTGTTTTATACGCTGTGATCCCGATCTCACAAACCCACCAGCAGCAGCCATGGATTGACAGCTCTGCCAAGAGAGGACCCAAGCCCCAGCAAGATCAAAAATGAGATGGGTCTCCTGCCCATGTAAACTGCGATTCTGCAAAATGAGTATGTCCATACAAAGAAAAAAAAGCAGCGCAAAAAATCTAGGACAAGGCATGGCCAAATCATACTCCTTGCATGTCCTGGGTGATTGCAGAGTTCAGAGCAGACACGTGGCAAAGCAGGAGGATGCTGGAGAGGTAGAAACCCAGGAGGGAGCCGAGAAGTAGTTCAACAAGGTTCAGAAGGTGGGGAGGAGATTTAGAGATTATGCCAGATCAAAAGGATAATTATTTTTGTTACATTTCCCTATCTGCATCACTCTACCGGTTATGCGAGAAGCCAAGCGGCTGGGCTGATTTTCTAGTTTCCAAGCAAGCTTGGTGTAAAGAACATGTTACTAAAGCCTTGGCAACAAATGCCAATCTTTCATCAGACCTGCTTGCTGTGTATTCAGGAGCAGGAGAGGCAAACCCGGTGAGACCTGGGGATTTAGTTTGCAAGACCTGGAGATTTAGTCTGTAAATGCTTCCCCTGACACCCACGGGCTCAGTGCCTCCCAAGGTGTCAAGAAGCATCGGCACAGAGCAGATTTCCCCACAAATGAAGCAGCTCTCTGGCCAGTTTGACATCTTGATTTGGTAATTATTGGCTTCCCACTTGAACTATCTTAGGAAAAGTCACTCATCCTATATAAAGCACCTCTAGCCAGCAAAGAGATGAGTCCCAGCACAAGCTAACGCCCTTACTCACATGTGGTCACCAAATCCCCAGCTGAAGCGAGGGTGAGGAGTAGAGACAGGATTTGCCTCCCCGCTCTGCCTGAAAGCCTGCGGTAGATGGCCCAGATAAGTTTCTGGTTGCCCTTCCCTCCTGGGAGGCTGCTCCCAAAGCAGCTGCTGCAAAATCCTGCCCCTTGCAGCCCTTTTGCACTGGGCAAGCAGCAGCTTGCCCAGGAGTCCCAGTCTCCATCAAAGCAGACCTGAAGGGAGGTTTAAGGATTGGGATGGATAGGGTTGAAAAGCAGAGGGACACCCATGGTGTTGCCAGTTCTGATCTAAATTCCTTGATCTGCAGTTCTTGTGCAGAGCTGGCTGCAGCCAGAGAAGCCCGAAGTGGCTGGAAGTATTTATGAGGGAGCACGTCTGTCCCAAAAGAGGGAGGGGGAAAGCTGTGTGCACAAAGCAGCAGCCTCCCAAGCCTTGAGCAAACATCTTTCTGCTCTCCATGTCCCACGAATAGCCTCCCTGCCCACAGAGCCACAGGGAGGAGATCCTACTGAAGCAACCCATCACATGTTCCAGTGGTACAAAGCCTGCTGACAGCTGAAAAACTGTCTGGGCATCAGGGACAAAGGCACCTCTCTTCCAGACTTGCCAATTAGAGAGCTGCGCAAGCAGAGGACAAGCACCCAGCCCTTCCGACGCTCTTCTCCCCCTACTAACTGGGGAGGAAGCACTATCACAGCACCGCCTGCTGGCAGCAAGCAGGCTGGCAGAGCGCCTTGTCATCTGCACCAGGCACTTTGAAGTGCCATTGTCAGCTAAGAAACCTCCTCCAGGAAGGCGATTTCCCAATACCCAGGCACAGATCCTCCCACCAGAAGTGGTGATAGGTATCAGAGTACCTCAGAGGACGTTGGCCAGAGCTCCCACTTCTTTAGCACCTGGCAAGCTGTGGGTGAATCTGGTGCTCAGTAGGGATGAGCATCAACGTGTAGAAGTGCAGAAGCTCTCCTGACATGCAGCTGGCTATCCACTCTTCCGCTAGCTGTCAGTGCTGCCACTGGCTCCATGTCAATGCTGCAAAGCTGGTCTCAAAGAACCCTTGGCCACCAGGACCCTTCCCTTCCCTGGTTTAGGAGACCTCCCCAGGTCCATCCCCAGAGGATACACATGGACGTGCTCATAACTTGAACAAAGCTCTCTCTTGCCGAGGCTGGCAATGTGACCACAGGCCTTGACTGTCCCCTCAACAGCTTTTGGGGCTCCCCATCCCTCTCCTGCCACTGTCGGAGCCAGCTGTCTGCTCTCAACTCTGTATCAATACCACGCTTAATTTACAGGGCAATAAAAGTTAATTAATGCTGTAGTTACAAACCCATTACAATGTAATTATTGTTTAATTGGATTATAAGTTATGCAATTTCCGACAAAGTGCTTATTGCTTATGTAGTAAAACAGAAGATATTTACAAAGTGATTAATTGCTATAGTGCTAAGCAGCCAGCACGGTGTAGAGATGGGGACAGGGGCTGCCCGCCTCTCCCTGCACCAGGCCAGAGTAACAGTAGGAACCAGCTCCATCTTGGTGCTGCAAGCAGCTCAGCCTACTTCTCTCAAACCAGTGCTGGGACATGGGACTCTTCCCAGCCCCTGGGAAGACAACACGTAGACCCCACTGGGTTCAGCAGAGTCAGGATTTCTCCCTGGCTCTGCACATCTGTCATAACCTCATGAAGTCCTTTTTTGCCCCTGACTCTTAATTTCCTAACTGCATTTCCTTGGCCTTTGCTAGGTACCTCTCCACAAGCTGACCATGGAAGAGCATCATCTATTGCTGCAGCCCACGACACAGCTACCCGAATCTGCTTGCACGGAGAAATACTAGCAGGCCTCTAAAGACAGACACTTTGCTCTCCCACTTTCCCCTTCCCTGCAAAAGGGAATAGAAGGAAATGGCTCCCAAGCAGCAGAGTATCAAGGCAGGAGGCTGTTCACCCCATTGCCCTTTCACGTCGGATGAGCCTCATCAGCTGTTATACATGTGTCTCACCTCGTCTCCCCTGCACCCAGAGAGCTTTGGGAATGAAAAGGGCAGCTGCCACAGATAAGCACCTGGGGCTACAGATGACTTCAGCACAGAGATGGAGTCCAAGCCCTATCAGAGGAGGATTTAATTTGCCTTTGATAAGGCTGCTGGGCTTTGGTGTGCAGGAGCAGGCACCCACGTGACAGAGCTAGACTCACTGGGCATCCCTGAAAGCAAAAGGGACTGGGCATATAGATATCCATCAGTCCAAAACAGGCCTAATTCTGCCCCAGAGGACCTGGTGCACACTGCTTATGAGCATCAAGAACCCAGACAAGCTGTGGGTAAGCATGTTCGCAGCCAAGAAGGTCCTGGGACAGGCAGGACCCTTATGCAGGCAGCTGACATTTGTGACTTAGTGCTCTTGAGAGCAGCAAATTAAAAAAAAAAAAAGAGGTTTTTATGATTAATATTGCTGGGATAATTACTGTTATTACTACTATTATTACTGTTTGGATATGGGCTTGTCATGGCTCATTTGGGGAGGAAAAAGTCAGAGCCTGCTCATGGGAAAAAGGGCAAAACACGCTAAAGGCCATTCATTGCATGACTCAGGGCCAAATAACCCTCTCTTTTTTCAGTAATGAAAGATCATTAGATACCTAATAGGCGTCCAGAGCCTTTTTGGCTTCTCCTCTCCCCTCCCTGAAATACCCTGCTCCACACACAGCCTATCTGACCCACGGAGCAAGGCTCCATCCTGCTCCCGAGGCTCCTACAGTAAAGGAAACTGCTATAAAAATGCAACAGAGCACTTTTCCAGCAGAAAATGCAGCTGCTTTGAATTCCCAGCAATTAAAAGTTTGACTGGAGGGGCGGAAGGGAGCCATTTGAATTTCTCTCACGCTTGCTTTGTTTACTTTTATGAGCGCTTTTTAACATTTTTAGGCTGTTGCATTGTTATCTAAAGAAGCTGCCTCTCTGACTTCTTGTTTTATGGGAAATTCACAGCTTTCTACACCTAAGTTTAAAAATAATAATCAACTTACAACCAGCAAATGGTCTGAATATTCGACACAATGCAACCGATCCAGCTGCATGTATCAAACTGTATGAAGCCCTCAAAAGTAGACATCTTTGCAGCTGCTTTCATGTGGCAGCTCCTCCACTGCTTGAATTATCTTTTTGTGACATTTCCAGCACTTAAAGAGCAGCAGGGGGATTTAGTATGTTGCTTTTGTGAATGGTATTTAAAGCTTCTTTTCATAACCCTGACCTGGTTTACCCTTTAACGTAACAAATCAATCTTCCCTTAAATTGTTTAGTTTCTAGTCAAACACAGGGAGTCTCAGTGATGTAAATATTATGTTTGCTCACTTTATAAGCCAGCACCCTCCATGGCTGCCTTTGCTTCTCTATAGAATTGATATAGGACCATCATACAGAGGAGGAGAGGGATGAAACCATTCAGCTCCCACCACCAATGGGATGCTTTCCTTGGGCAGTGGGTGCCAGGACCCCTATGCAGTGGCATTGCAAGGCTCAGTGCTGAGAAGAGATGGGAAAGGAGTCACACAAAATATACTGGTTTCTGCTAATCTCAGCCAAATGAAGCGCCTGTGTTCGGTTTGTAACATTTCCTGTGTCACCAGCTCCTGTTGCATTCTATTCTGCAGAGCCTCAGGCTCACCAGGTGAGGTTAAAGAGAACTCTCTTACCAAAACCAGCTTTTTGATATTTTTACTCCTTCCACAGGGCCAGACTACCTGGTTTGGGCATGACTACGTGAAGAAGAATTTTCTCCCCCGCTTTTCCAGCCCCAGTTTACAGGTCAGCCACCAAACCTGAGCTCAGAGAGCAGCAGCATTCCTATTATCCAGGAACATCTACTCATATTTAATCCTGCTAAGCTCCTGAACACGCCGACACCTTCTAGCAATG